ATTTGTTAAAACTCAATAAATTGTGCACTTTAAATGGATACAGTTTTGTATATAAATCGTGCCTCAATAGAGTTATTTTTTTTTTTCAATAGAGTTATTTTTAAAAATCTGTACAGGGAAGGGCCCTTCATTGCCTTCAGGTTGCAGGCCACATTTCGAACAGAATGATCCCAAACTACCTTTTCTAGCCTTTTTTTCCTTCCATTTCTTAATGCGTGCTTTCCACTGCAGCTACTCCATACTGTTGACCATCCCTTATATGTCAAGCCCCTTATTTTGTTACTTAAGTAAATACTTAAAGAACAATGACAATTGACATTATTGTTGGAAAGGGTTACATGACTGGTTAAGCTTGGCAATATTACTTTGGTGAGCACTGTGGTATAGTTCTCCAGGCCAGAGACTTGGGTTTTTTGTTTTGTTTTGTTTTTTATCTGAATTTTTTTTATTATGTTATGTTAATCACCATACATGACATCATTAGTTTTTGATGTAGTGTTCCATGATTCATTGTTTGCATATAACACCCAGTGCTCCATGCAGAACGTGCCCTCTTTAATACCCATCACCAGGCTAACCCATCCCCCCAACCCCCTCCCCTCTAGAACCCTCAGTTTGTTTCTCAGAGTCCATAGTCTCTCATGGTTCATCTCCCCCTCCAATTCCCCCCCTTCATTTTTCCCTTCCTGCTATCTTCTTCTTCTTCTTCTTCTTCTTTTAACATATAATGTATTATTTGCTTCAGAGGTGCAGGTCTGCGATTCAGGAGTAGAGACAGTTTTGACCATGTACCAAGAAGTTGTCAGTCTCTCTGAGAGTATAGATTAATATAAATCAAATGTTTAAGACTGTGTAAACCAGAATGTCAGCTCATTCATTTATATTTATAATGTAAGCATTTGTGTTAAAAGGATGAGAATGCTTGTTTTGATGGATTAGTATAATCTTTCTGGGTTTGAAAGGCAACCTAAATTAAAGTCTAAAGGTTGCTCAGTGGTCACAGAATCGTATCATATGAAGGTGGTTTGAATGTGGCCAGATTTATAGATCCTGGAATCTGTGTTAACTATTTTCTCTAACACATTCATTTTTTATTTCCATTATAGCATTGGGTGGTTTATTTGGCTCTGTCTTCATGCAGCCTCAGTTTATCTTTGATTCTAGTAGTCATTTTCTCTGTTTCTTAGTTGACACTTCCACTGCTATTATTTTGCTATTATCGTTAACTTAGTAACTTTTTTTTCCCCAGGAGATATAGGTCATGGGTCAGGGCCTATTAGCTTCATGGAGTAGATGGACTATGTTAGATTTTTATCTTTTAAAGGTCTATTTTGCCTTTCTTTGAAGTTAGTAGTATGTTCTAAATGGTTAAGGATTCAACAGAAGTCTTACCCTTGGTTTATTCAGGACTCACTATGTTGGAAAAGTTTGTTGTAACTGGACTGTAGAGTTGAGGGTTAAGGGTTATTTATTAGTCATGGTTCTGTAGAGAAACATGGAACTAAGGATATATAAAGATGTACAGAAAGAGATTTATTATGAGAGATTATCATCTGATTATGGAGGCTGAGAAGTCCTGTGGTCTGCCATTTGCAAGCTGGGGGCTTCAGAAAGCTGGTGGTATGGTTCCAGTCCAAACCCAAAAGTCTAAGAACCAGGGCAGCCATTTATATAAATTTCAGTGTAAGTTCTAAGGCCCAAGAACCGGGAGTGCCAGTGTCTGAGGGCAGGAGAAGGTGGATATCCTAGCTTAAGCAGAGAGTAAATTCATCCTTCCTCTACCTTTTATTTCTATTCAGGACTTCTGTGGATTGCATGATGCCCACCTCAATGGTTAGGGTTATCTTCTTTATTCAGTTTGCCAATTCAAATTATAAAAATCTCTTTCAGAAATATCCTCACAGAAATAATATTTTACCAGCCCACTCAAGTTAACAAGTGAAACTAACCACCACAGGTTAGTAGGCTAGCGTTGAGGAGTGATAATGAGCAAGAAGTTAATGCCCAGGAAGGGTTTTGTCAGTCAAGTTAGGCCTTCATCCCATTGTAGTAATAGTAGTGGGGGGGTGGTGGTAGTAGTTAGTAGTAGTAATAGTAGTAGTAACAGAAGTAGTTATAGAAGTAGCAGTAATAATGAAGAATATTATGATAATGACAGAAGAAAATATTTACTGACTATTTACTAGGTGCTGGACACTGTTATTTATCTGGATTATTTTACTCAGTCTTCACAGTAACACTAGAAAATAGGAACTATTATCATTCTCACTGTGAATAAGGAAACTGAAACACAGAGAAATTTATGTATCTTGTTCAAAATCACAGAGCTAGTATGTGGTAGGGCTAGATTTTTAATGGGGGTAGTAGTAATCATGGTTGTTGAGCAAGTCAGTAGTTAGATCTATATTAAGATTATGATTTCCCAGATGGAGAACTTGACAGTCCTACCATCAACTCTGCCTGCACTGTGGTTGTTAACTGTCCTCAGATCAAGAGTAGGCAGATATAAATAGTGGGTTCATAATGTTTGACCTCAACTGTTTATTCTAAGGTATTTTGTATATTTTTCAGCAGCAAAACCAAACTGAGTCTTTAGTTTTATCCCTGTTTCCTGCAAGGGAAGAGCCTTTATACAACTGGACACAGTTTGTGTGTGTGTGTGTGTGTGTGTGTTTGTGTGTCTGTAATGGAATATTATATATATGATGGAATATTATTCAGTCATTAAAAAAGAATGAAATCTTGCCATTTACAACAACATGGATGGACCTAGACGGTATAATTCTAAGTAAAATAAGCCAGTCAAAGAAAGACAAGTATCACATGGTTTCACTCATATGGAGAATTTAAGAAACAAAACAAATGAACAAAGGAGAAAAAAAAAAGACAAACCCCAAACAGACTCTTAACTATAGGGAACAAACAGACTGTTACCAGAGGGGAGGTGGGGGAGGGGGGAGATGGGTGAAATAGGGGGAGGGGGCTAAGAGTACAATAATCTTGATGAGTACAGGGTGATGTATGGAAGTGTTGAATCACTATATTGTACACCTGAAACTAATATTACACTGTATTTTAACTATACTGGAAATAAAATTTCAAAAATTAATAAAAAAAAATTCTCACATTAAAAAAGGTAATGATTCGGATTTCGGCCTAGTTTGGAAGAATAGTCCAAATTCAGTTTGGTATATAATTCTAGAGCTGATTATTTAGGTATTACCAAATAGAAAATAAAAGAGATAGAAATGGTAGAGAATTCCAGAGAAAAAGTGTAGACTAAGAAGAATTAAATAATAACTATTTAGGGTGGTAATGAGAATCATAGAAGGATGGTACATTTTAAATGGATAATAAATGACAATTTTTATTTTAACAATGTCTTGACTTAAAGTTAACTTGAATTTAAAAGAGAAAAATACCAGTAGCTCTTGTCTTTATTTTCTTGATGTCTAGAGAAATACACACACACACACAATATTCAGTACTTGACATTTTCTTATGGCAGAACTTATAAACAACTATATGGTATAGGAATATAACTGATTTTTATCTTTTGATGACACTGTCCACTACTCTGATCTGTGTATTTATTCAGGAACACTATGCCTTGACCTTTTCTAATGAATACAATGACTTTTATGAAAAGAAAATGACTAGGAAGTGAAGAGAAAGGTTATAAGCAAATGCTCTCACAGATTTGCTAAACTAGGGAAGTATAGGAAATTGCTTTTTCCTGTCATCCTTATCTAATAGAATCATTTTATTTTGAGGATGTTTGGGCATATATTTCTTTATCATTTTGGAGGGGAAACTTTAAATTGGTTTTATTTCCAAAGACATGAGAGATTCCTTTTGTGCATTTTGTTGTTTATTTATTATGGCATCCTATTAGGACACACTCGGTTATTTCACTATGTCTTCAAGTATTACATATGTTTTTATGTGAGACACTATTGCTTTTCTTTGTAGATTTTCAAGTATGGAAAGAGTATTAATAATGAAGTCATCTCTCTCAAGTAGTTTCTTCTATACTCCATATGCTAGGATGGATTTTCTTTTATGCCTATTCAGAGAATTTCTATTCAGTTTGTTATTAGTAATTGCCCCCTAGTCACTTTCTTCACATCTGCTTTCTAGGTAACCGTTCCCTAGTGTATACCTACACTGTATATTATTCTTCCCTAAGTGTACTATCTTACACTTCTTTACATTAAATCTCTTCTTAGAACTGTCCTTCTAAATACCCAAGTTCTCCGTATCTGTACATGTACTTGATTGATCTCCTCTTCATTTTTTTTTATCTATTGTAGCTTTGTATCATTTGCAGACTTGATCATATTTGAATTTACATCTCCTGCATCATTAATGAGCACACTGGGTAGACTAGTCCTCTTTCCTATGAGACTTTGCTGGATGTAGTGCTGGGTATTCTCATTTGTAACTCTGTTGATAATTCATTGCTTCCTTCTCATCATGGAATTTTTTATCCACTGTGCTATACTGTTATCCAGGTAATAGCTCTACCATCTCTGCTTCCTGGATGCTCCTGTTAATCACCTTTTCTGAGATACAAGTAAGAATCATTGTGTCCCCTTTTCTACTTATGCCATTGCTTATTTTTTTTTAAAGTTACTCAGTCTGAGAAAATATTGTCCTTAAATAGAAATTTCTCAAAAATTTCGACTGAACATCATCGAATCTTTAAAAGTATGTTAAGTGAGAAAACATTTGAAAGTACCATCTAAATCTTTGCCTTCTCCACAGAAAATATTCTCTAGTTATTTGGATTTTAAGTAAAAAGAATAATTATTTTTCCCACAGCTGAGAGTATGACTTAAATCTATGTATTTATTTTTTCTGAATATGGATTGCATTTTCATAAATTATTCTGCTTTAAAATGGTTTTCTAGATGAGACACTGTTCTTTAATAATTTTCAGAGCATGATGCATAGCCACATGTTTATTTTTAAAGTTATATTTTTTGTTTTATTTTCAGGAAAAAGAAGAAGTAGAGGGGATATCAGTAGGTGCTATACTTTCTGACTATCAGCGTGTTCGAGTAGAAAATGTGTAAGAGAACATTAATTTGTCCTATATTATACTTTATTTTATTTTTTAAAATTTGTCCTATATTTTTAAATTACATGTATTTTAAGAATGGGAATAAATTATAAATGTAATTGTATCCAAATAATAAATAGAATGTATATTCTACATTCTTCATGGAACTACCTACCTGTATTACCTAAATAACAAAAATTGTACTTTTACTTTTTTTCTATCCTGCTATCACACATGGAGAAAACTCCAGCTTACTTACATAAGGAAAAATAAATTATTTATAATAAAAAATCAGGACAAAGATTTTTAAAGTCAAAAGTATTGTTTTCAGTGTTTTCTTTTTTGAATCAGTATACCTGTTAATCCCTTTTAACTCATCATCATTGGTAATAAAAATCAGGAGTTAGTAAAAGGAATGCAGTGGTATTTTTTTTAAATTTATTTATTTATTTTAGAGAAAGAGAAAGGGGGAAGAGAGATGGAGAGGGAGAGAGAAACCCAAGTGGACTCCTCACTGAGCATGGAGCCTGATGCAGGGCTCGATCTCAGGACCCTGAGATCAGACCTAAGCTGAAACCAAGAGTCAGGTGCTTAACCTACTGTATCACCCAGACACCCCAGGAATTCAGTGACATTTTAAGGGAAAAAAAAGCTTATTAAGGAATCTTTCCTTCTTTGGTCTTCAGAATTCAACTCTTGGCCAAAAATATTCATGTGATTAGAATACTTATATAACAAAGCCATTCAACTTTCAAGGACTTTTTAGATTATTGCTCTCTTCATCTTCCTCACCCTCCAAAGGATGTAGCACTGGTAAAACATTGTATCTCCAAATACCAGAATATTTTGGTATTGATCCTTTTGGGATTGATCTATTCAAAAACCATAAAGTCTAATGATAATATTGATTATTTAATGTTGGCTTGCAAAACATCACCTGAATTTATTTTTCACTTTTAGTTTATTTGGATAAGTAAAATACTGTATAGAGACTTTATATATAATTATATTAGCAAAAAAGAAAATATGGACTCCAGGATTCATCTTGAGCACAACTTAAACTAGAAATAAGTATTTTGCCATTCAAAAGGATAAATGGAAATCAGAAAAGGGTTGTATTTGTATAATAGTTTTATATTCTTTTTTTTTTAAAGGTAATTTTTTTTTTTAAGACTTTATGTATTTATTTGAAAGAGAGAGAGGGATAGCAAGAGCAGGAACATAAGCAGGGGGAGTGGGAGAGGGAGAAGCAGGCTCCCCTCTGAGCAGGGAGCCCGATGTGGGACTCGATCCCAGGACCCTGGGATCATGACCTGAGCCGAAGGCAGACGCTTAACGACTGAGCCACCCAGGCGCCCATAGTTTTATATTCTTGACAAAGAAGCATTCATATTGACTATCACATCAAAAACTTACATATTAATTGGCTTAAACTTTTTTTAATTGCATTTATTTTATCTTTTAATTCTACAGTGAATTTAAGGCAGTCAAAAATCCAAAATTTTTAGGGGCATCTGGCTGTCCCAATCGGAAGAGCATGTGTTTCTTGATCTCCCAGGGTCATGAGTTTGAGACCCACGTTGGGTGTAGAGATTACTAAAAAATAAATAAATAAAAGTAAAACTTTTTTAAAAATCCAAAATTTTTTAAATAAATGAAAGAAATATAGGACAAAGCATAATTAAATGAAGGGGAATATGATGATCTCATATTTTGGGGGTATCAGTATCTTTGGAGAAGGGAGAGTGGAGGTGGAAGTGGGGAGAGGTCATATGTGTAGTTTGAAAAAGATTTCCCTACATTCTGCTCGCCTACATTTAAGAACGACTGATCTACAGATGGAGATGGATTGCATATCCCTTAAACCATATGTTAGAAATACTATTTTCATCAAGTTTTAGGTCATATTCTCTGAGAATTATTTAGTTTACAAATCTGTGTTTTTTAATAAGTTCAAGCCCACATGGTTTAATGGGTAGCCAAACTGTAGATGGGGCTGACATTTATTTATGAAAGTTAAAGCCAAATGAAAATGTGCTCCTGATTAGGAAGCTGCCTTATATCTATATGGGAGAAGGGTCCAGAGCATACCCATAGATAGAGGCAAGATTTTTCTTAAAACAATCTCAGGTGCACTTCAACACATGGTTAAAATACTCTGATTTTAGAATAAAGCATATCTCCAATAATTTTATCCTTGGAAATTTTAAAGCAGTGTTACTAGGAGTCCATTGGTTTACAAGCTCAGTTTTGAATTAGCCTGTCTTCAATTTGTAGTTTGTATTGCATTAGTGTATTTTCAAGATATAAAGTATTTAATAAATGTCACAAGCTGAAATGCAGTAGTGACTTACAGAGGAAGTGTATTTGAACCATGATATTTTGAACTGTTAAAGAATTTAAATAAGCAAAAAAGCTTGACTTAAGTCTAGAGATAGTCAAAAGATTATGGCTATCAAGCAAAAACCAAGAATTTTACAATAAAGATAGGAAGAGAATAAGGTTTTTTCAATTAAAAAAAATCTTAGCTAAAAAAGGTAGAGACCAGTTTGATTGGTAGGCATTAAATGCTGGTGGGAAGACAGCTAGAATTATTATGCTTTTGTTACATGGGGACTTTCAGTTTTATTATTTTTGTTTATTAACCGCATCAACATTGCAATAGATGGGACATTTTGCCAAGGGGAAGTATGTAAAACAATCTGCAGTAGGAAGGTTTTGGTGTCTTTGGAAGTCAGGGTATATATACATGGAAAAAAAGAGTGATATTTTTAAGGCCATGTATTAGTAAATGACCAAATATGTGGTATGTTTATTAAGTATTGGGGTTTTCTGAGAGAAAGATCATTGTGGGCTGGAGTAGTCAGCCAAGCAAACTTACAGATGCTGGGTTTTAGAGCTGTTTTTTTATTTGAAATCTGATCTCAGCCTCTTACTCTGACTTGGGCAAGTCACTTGGCTTTGACTGCCATTTATTGAATATCTATTTTATCCAGGCATTGTACTATTTTCTTTATCTATGCTACTTTTAATCATTATAGTCCTCCTTGAGAAAGTGACATTTAAGCAAAGGCATGAAACAAGTGAAGAAGGTAGGAAGCATGGCTGGTATATTAGACAAGAGTGAGCAGGCCAGTGGTGGTGGGTTGGAGTGAAGGGAAAGCAGTAGGAGATGAGCTATGAGAGCTAACCAGAGTGAGATCCATGTAGGTCTATTGCAAGGATTTACAAGGAGTGATGGGGAGAGTTTGAGCCGAGGAATCCCATGATCCATTTTATGTCTTAAAAGGATCACACTGATTGCTGCATTGAAAACTGATTTTAAAAGGGCAAAGACAGAAGCAAGGAAAGAAGTTAGGGAGATATGGACATGAAAGATAATGGTGACTCAGACCTGAGTGTTAACAGTGGTATTGATGAAGAATGATCATGTTGTGTGTTATGGTAGATTGGGTAAGAAATGTGAAGGAAAAAAAAAAAGGAGTAAAGGATGACTTCACTTTCTAATTTCTTAATCTTCTCAAGAACTTTGAAAGGAGATATTTTTTTTCCGATTTATGAACTAGGAAACTAAAGATCTCAAGTTTAGTTGACCTGTCAAAGTCATGCAGCTAGTGAGTGCCAGAGGAGGTTTCAAATCCAGATTTGTCTTGACTCCAAAACCTATATTCTTTCTATTGCACCGTAATGTAAAGTATGTAATACAATGCCTCCAGCATATTTGGTGCTCGATATATTGTACTTTTTGTTATTATTATTTTTCACTCAAAGTCAAACTCTTTTTAAAAATGTCAGAGTTAGAGAAGAATAGTGCATGTAACCATAGGTATTGTAAAGTTAATCAATATATGATCATTTTATTAGGATAAATTGATTTGCCTGTTTTGCATATGCCTCACAATTTTGATACCCAAGGAAGTTCTAAGAGCAGGAATAACCATCCATCGGCATTTGGAAGCTTTTTAGCATAGATTTCTAAACTTAGAGTCTTACTAAAATTAATATTTCTAATCTGCTTGGAGATTTCATTTTTATCTGTTTATGCATAGCCTGTGGAAATTAAATATGTTTATGTTGTATATATAAACGTCATTATGCAAAACATGTTTTTTAAGCATTTTAAATGCTAAAATCCTTGAGAGGAGCATTATGTTTAGAATCAAAGTAATTGCTGTGGATCCAAGTATAGAATGTCAAGATATCATCTGATTTTTTTCTTTTTATTTTATAGGTGTAAAAGGCTTAATCTCCAGCCTTTAGCTTACCTTTGGCAGAGAAACCAGGAAGATTTGCTCCGAGAGATGATATCATCTAACATTCAAGCAATCATCATCAAAGTAGCAGCTTTGGGTATGTAGCCAGACTTTCAAGGGAGCTGTCTGTTACCACATAGATAATCTGTATTCACTAATATGCAGTTACAACAGAAAAGGAAGACTAATTTAGAATATAAAAATGTGGAGTCACAACTGAACAAATTGAGTAGGGGGAAGTTTCAAATGGGCTTTTGACCATTTACCAAAGTGATTACAAGTGATCCTCATCATTTTCTTTTTTAAATGTACAGCTGTCTCTAAAATTGTTATTATATTTTGGTCCTTCGATTTAAGTTCTTTTTATAGGATTTGGAACCCAGGTTCATAGGAAACAGGAAAAGTAGGTTGATTTCTTTCTTTTTTTCTTTTTTCTTTTTCTTTTTTTCGAAGCTTCTTAAAATCTGTATTTGGAACACCATGTGATTTTTTTCATATATTTTTTAAACATATTTTGACTATGCATTTGGCTTTGTGTCAGAAATAAGCAGAGTAGTAGGTTTTTGTTGGGGATGGTAAGAAAATTATCTTTGAGAGAATGTCATTTGATCAGTTAGCATAGACACAACAGGCAGGTGGTAGGTAATGTGATTCAAATATGGATATTACATACGAACACACTTAATTTGTTGTTTTGAATTTTTATAATTATATTCACTTTCAAGAAACCATAGGGTTTGAGCTCAATGCATTTATTTCATGAACCTATTACAGTAAATGCCCTGGAGCCTCAGGTTTCTCAAAGCCTAAATCGTGTACCTCATTTGCAAGTTTACATTGCTGATCTCAGAAATAACGAGGTCTCAAGCTGTGGAAGATTTTAAAACAAATTCACATTTTAAACAACATTAAAAGAAAGATCCCATAATATTTCTCCTTGGTAAACACGAAGCTACTCTTTCCTTGTTGAAGGTGAAATGTTGTCTTTAGTGGAAAGTGTTATATTGAGAACCTGAAGTTGATCTCCTCAGCTGTTAACAAGAAAAAGACCGAGATGGGGTATTCTCATTTTTGAGAACAGGTTGCTCAGCAACCCTTATGATTGAAGTTCTCACTATAGATATATTTGTCCTGTGAGTTTCTACATAAATCTATACAGAGTATGCTCTCTTGCTTTCTCTTTGTTTGTTACTCTTTCTTTTGGATTTTCTAAGATTGCCTACTTCTGTAATGAAGGTCATGTGACACCTCACTGGACAGTACACATTCTGTCACTTTTACCTAAATGGAGTGGACAATAGAATGGATTAGAACCCAGAGAACCTATCTCATTAGAAAGAAAGAGCCATAAGATATAACCTTGCTGACACCTTTATTATAGTGTAACTGATACTGTGTATTTTTTTCATTTGTGTGGATGTGTGTTTGCCTCTATGGAGGGGTTAGAGATGGCGTTTAACTGTGTTAAACTTTTGGATGAAGTGTAAAACTGAGCTAATTTGTCTTCATCATTCCAATGGCAAAAGTATAGATCTGATTTTAACATTTATAGCACATAGTTTCTATTGATTACCTAAAAGTGTGCAAAGAAAAAGTTATTCTGAGAACAGTGTTAAGGAATGGTTTATTGAGTGGGACATTATTTCTAAGGACGCAGAAACATAAATGATGTGAGGTAGGTTTCCAAGATTTCTTCCCCACCTATTTAAAATTTTCAGGAAGGCTTTTAATCAAAAAGTGGGACAATAGGACCTTTCCATAGGGAGAGGGATTCAGCAGAATTCTGTGGCGCATTAGTTATAGAGTGGTCTTAGAAAAGAGTCAGTTCTACATGGATGAATAAAAATGTATTTCTGGGGGCACCTGGGTGGCTCAGTCAGTTAAGCATCTGCCGTCAGCTCAAGTCATGATCCCAGGGTTCTGGGATCAAGTCCTGCATCAGGCTCCCTGCTCAGCAGAGAGCCTTCTTCTCCCTCTCCCTTTGCTGCTCCCCCCTGCTTTTGTGTGCTTGCATACTCTCTCTCTCTCTGTCAAAAAAATAAATAAAATCTTTAAAAAATGTATTTCTGATAATTGTGTCACATAACCTTGGTCTCTTATAGGCATCAGTGAACTCATGAAATCTGCACATTAACAGCTTAGTGTTTTAAGAAGTTTCTGGGTTTAGACTTATTTAAAGAACCATGTACACATTGTATTTAAGAACAGTCCTGACTTTTAGAAATACTTTTTTTTAATTGTATGAGTATTACATGAAAATATTCTTGGCACATGTTAAATTTTTATAGATAAAGTTTCCATGTGTTTCTGTTCTCTCCTTTCCCTCCAGCCACTCCCTTTCCCAGAAATATGTACCAGAGTAATAACAGATCATCTTTCTAGATCACACTTTTTTTTTGGTATGTATATTTGTATGAGTAGAAATACTATGATTGTTTTATGGGGTTTTTTAATATTACATGAATGGTATTATACTCTGTATGTCAACTCCGGTTGACAACTTGACTTTTTTACTCAGCGGTATGTCTTAGGGATTTTTTTCTATGTCAGTAAATGTAGATTTACCTCAAGCAGAGTCCTCAAACAGCTAGTGCCTTAGTAGTCATGAGCCTTAGACTAAAGGCTGCTATGAACCTGATCTAATAAATAACTCATGCCAGAACAAAATCCTAAACTATTTTTTTCCATTTTTTTTTAAATTCCAGGATAGTTAGCATATAGTGTTATATTAGTTTCAGGTGTACAATATAGTCAACTATTCTATACTTACTTAGTGCTCATCAGGATAAGTGTACTCTTAATCCCCTTTACCTATTTTGTCCTACCCCCTACCCCCACCCACCTCCCCTCTGATAACCATCAGTTTGTCCTCTATAGTTAGTAGTCTTTCTTTTAATCTCTTTTTTTTCCTTTGTTCATTTATTTTGTCTCTTAAATTCCACATATGAGTGAAAAATCATATGGTACTTGTCTTTCTATGACTATTTTGCTTAGAATTATATCCTCTAGGCCCATCCATGTTGTTGCAAATGGCAAGAGTTCATTCTTTTTTCTGGCTGAGTAATATTCCATTGTGTGTGTATACTATATATATACAGAATACACACACACACACATATATGTATATATCTTCATCTGTGGATGGACACTTGGTCTGCTTCCATGATTTGGTTATTGTAAACAATGCTGCAATAAGCAAGGGGTGCATAAATCTTTTCAAATGAGTGTTTTCATATTCTTTGAGTAAATACACAGTAGAGCAATTACTGGATCGTACAGTAATTCTACAAAATCCTAAACTATTTAAAGGAATACTATAAAATCTAATACATAGTAATATAAAATTCACAATGCCTTGCATCTAAATTATCAGGCATGCAAAGAAGCAAGAACATTTGATTGATACTGAGAAAATCAATCAGAATAGACCCAGATTTGGAATTAGCTTGCAAGGAAGTTAAAACAGCTCTTATAAGTATGCTCAGTGTGCTCAAAAAAAGTAGAATTATGATTATGACAAGGAAAATAAAAGATATAAAAGGCCCAAATACAGCTTCAAAAATGCATTATCTGAAGTGAACCATGTACAGCAATTAGACATTGCAGAAGAGATGAGTAAACCCAAAGACAAATAGAAACTGTCAAAAATGAAGCATAGAGGGAAAAAAGGGGGACTGAAAATAATTAAGACAACATTAGCGAGCTCTTAGACTGTATCAAGCAACCTAACAAGTTAGAGTCTCAGGAGAGGGAATGGAGAGAATATTCGAAGAAATAATGGCCAAAATATTTTCCCAATTTGATGAAAACCATAAATTTACAGATCCAAAATTTCAGTGAACCCCAAACAGAAGAAATATGAAGAAGATCACAAAGCACATCATAACTGAATTGCTGAAAACCAGTGGTAAAGAAAGAGTCCTAAAAGCAGCCAGTGTGAAAAGATTAATTTTATACAGTAAGTAAAGATAAAAATGTCAGCAGACTTTGCTTCAGAAGTAACTGGAAGATGATGAAAAGACATCTTTAAAGTGATGTAAACTGTAAAATGATGAAAAGACATCTTTAAAGTGATGAAAATCAATAAAAATCACCAAGAATTTTATGCTCAGTTAAATTTCAAAATGAAGATCAGATGAAGACATTTCAGATGTACAAAGGTTGAGAGAATTCATCACCTGCAGATCTGCATTATAAGTAATATTAAAAAGAGTTCTTTGGACAGAAGGAAAATAATAATTGATGAAATTTAATCTCATAAAGGATAAAGAGCAGTAAAATAATAAATAGAGTAGATAAATTCTAAATCTATTTTAACTTTTTGAATCTCTTTAACAATGTATTAAATTATTTAAAGCAAAAAAGAAGTGTGTTGTGGGGTTGGTAGCAAATGGGAAGTAAAATATATAATTGCAGTGGCACAAATAACAGAATGGGGAAAGTATAGTGTATAAGATTCTTAAATTATACATGATATTGTATAATATTGTTTGAAGGTAGACTGTGATAACTTAAAGTTGTAAAATGTAAACTATAAAGAAACTATTTTAAAAAAAAACAGTATAGGTAATAGGCCAGTAGTGGAGAAGAAATTGAATTATTGTAAGATAATCCAGAAGAAGATAAGAAAGGATAAAAAAAAAAAAGAGCATAAAACAGATGAGACAAAGAGAAAACAAAAAGTGAGATGGTAGATTTAGACATAATCATTTTAATAATTATATTAAATGTAAATGATCTCAACACCTCCAAACAAAAGGGAGCAATTTTCAGATTTGAATAAAAAACAAAAAACTAAGGCCCAACAACTATATGCTCTCTATAAGAAATGTGCTTTAATTATAGAAACATACGTTAAAATGGAAAGAATAGAGATATGGTAATACTAATTAAAAGAGTTGAACTGGTTATATTAACATCGGATAAAGTAGTCCTTAGAACAATGAATATTATTAGGGATAAAGAGGGGCATTTCATCATGATAAGGGGTCAGTTTATCAAGAGAGCATAACAATTTAAAGATTAATATACCAATAACAGGACTTTAAGATATACAACATGAAACTGATACAAGAAGAAATGGACAAATCCATAATT